ACTCTTTTATTTACGATAGAAAATAAAGGATCTGAACCTTTTCTAAATATATATGTATATGATCACGAGGGAATCTGCTTCTATAGGTTGAGGATAAACGAAGCACCTAAACCTTTCTTGATTAAATAAGATTACCGTTGGCCCCTCAAGAGATCCCACGAACTTTTAAGGTAACTATCCAAAGTTTATTCTCCCTTAACCAAAGACAAACTCACGGGAAACACCTAAAAATTAATCTCCCTCATTATATTAGACTCCCTGGAAACACCTCAAAATTAATCTCCCTGGAAACGCCTATAAATTAATCTCTCTTATTAAATTAAACTCCTTGGAAACGCCTAAAAATTTATCTCCCTTATTAAATTATACTCCCTGGAGACACTTAAAAATTAAGCTCCCTTATTAAATTAAACTCCCTGAAAATACCTAAAAATTAATTTCCCTTAATAAAACCATACACCCTGGAAACACCTAGAATTAACCTCCCTTAAACATCTATAAAGTTAGTCTCCCTTAAACATCTATAAAGTTAGTCTCCACTTAAACATCTATAAAGTTAGTCTCACTTAAGCATCTATAAAGTTAGCCTCCGTTAATAAAATCAAACTCCCTGGAAAATTGCCCCCCCCCCCTTAATAATAGCCGTCTATATGCGGGTCTTTGATGCAGGAGACTCGCACCGAAACTTCCGGGCGTTCACTATCACATACAGCGTAGGGAGGATGAGTTTTTTTTTCCCCCTAAATTTCCCGAGAACAAGGACACCAACTACCTTTGACGTTCCTGGCCGCTAAAGGAAAGGGGGAGGGGGTATGGCAAGCTCTTTGTCGGTACCCGCTTTAAAACACTCTCATCAGAATACATTACTAGTCTTTGTTAGGCAGAAGGTGTAAGTACCCGAGTGAACGTGAGAGGGAAGGAAAATAGTGAAAGAAAATACAAAACAATGTGGAATAGATTATATGTCGTACTGTGTGTGTGTGTGTGTGTGTGTGTGTGTGTGTGTGTGTGTGTGTGTGTGTGTTTTAGTGTCTTTTTTGTTGTTATTAGTTCTATCAATATTCAGCAGCTTGATATAAATAGTCTTGATATAATTCTACACGACTGACTGTAATCATTGTTTACTCAGTTCAGGGCAAGACTGTGAGAGGAAGTAAATTGCCCTGACCTCAAGGCAAGGAGGAATAACTTTTACTCCGTGGGATACTAGGTCGTCAATGAGCTATTGATCTCACGCAAACTACCGCTAACTACCCCGTTCTCCGTCCCAGTATGAAACTCTGAAATCACTGGCGTTGCCTCTTCCATCAATTTGGCACTCATTTGCATAAGACCATTTGCATATTAATACATCGTTGGGGGGTAGAGGTGAGGCAGCTCGCGGACGTGTAATCTACCTCTCCCATCCTAATTATAATCTACTAACTCATCTACTTTACCCTCGCAGGTGTGACCGAAACTAATAATAAACCCTTTTACCCTTCACCTACCTGTATACACCTGAGGGGAGTCACCTGGGGGAGGGTGTCATGGGGCGGGGGGAGAGCGTCATCACGGACTTAATCTACGATGAAATTTCACGTTGAAGTTAACGACCCGCAACAACCACGACAAAAGTGGATTAAACGACCTACTCAAGTGTGCCTGTAAAGTACTCTCTCCCCCCCTCCCCCATCAGGTTACCACCGTATATAATTACTCTACCCTATAATTTGCAGTCGTAAGGCAACTAAGCTGTTGGAGTGTGGACGTCCCGCGATGCAGAAGAGGGAAAAAAGCGATCGATAGAGTGAGTGAAAAGCTGTGATATTATGTTCTTGTTTTTTTTGTTTTTGTTTTTTTTGAACAATGTATATTTGCTGTTATTTATTTATTTATTATTATTATTTACTTATTTTGTTTGTGTGTGGGGAGGGAAGGGGGTAGCCAAGTCATGATAAGCGTGATAAAAAATGAATTGAATATATACCCATCCAGTACGGCCGGTCCCACGGAATCAACAGCCCTACGGAAGCTACTAAAATACCGACACTCCAACACGCCCGGTAAAACAGTAATTAAAACTGGGAGGAAACTGCCACGGCGGTCGATGGCTGTGGAATGTAAAGTATGATGACATTATTGGCGGGACACAGTTTTGGCGGACATAATTGTTTCTGCCGCCTTTACATACATTCTATCCTGTCAACAACATTCCTCTCTATGTAAACAACAGCAAAGAAACGTGATATAATCGTTCATCTATAATTAACATACATTTGATTACTTTATCCTGAATCAATACAATATAATTACTGTATACGAGACTAATTCCTTACCGTCAATATATTCCGATAATTACGATACCACGTGGGTAACTGACATCTTCCCTTATACAAAAGTAAAATGCCGGTCATTACGACATTATCCCCCCCCCTCATCCCTCCCCCTACTAACTGACCACAACGCAACCACAATTGCATTCTTTATTGTTACTCCCAGGATATTGCGAATTTTATTAAAACACCCCCATTGTCTTGTTTATTGACCAGTTCCTCACACCCTTCTCTCTCCCTCTTCCCCTCCCCTCCACTCCCTCCCTCTTTCTTTCTCTCTTACAATGCGCAATTTCACGTGGCCGCGAATGGAACAAGTTATGAAACACAGATCGATTTAGATGAAGCGACGGAAGAGAACTTTGTCATACATTTTACGTCCATACAATATTCCCGAAATTTTACCCTCCCCTTACGACAGTTGGTAAAAAAAAATTCATATATTTAAAAACTGGAACATGGAGCTGCCGTTTTCTGTCCACTCCGACCTACGCGAAAACAACACCCACCCCGGACGAAGCTATGCCTCGGTCCCTCGCTGATGGTACTCCTGCCTCCCAAGTTTTTTCCAAATTCTATCTAATAATACAACTCCGAGATAAAAAAAATATATATTTTTACCCAAAAATCATAAAAGCGGACATCTACCTGTGGTACCCGACCAGCCCCGTTGGTAATTGCAGACATAAAGCGTCCTTGGGGGCATTTGTTTACCGCCGTCGAGCCATTATGAGCTCTATAGTCGGGCGTGAGGGAAGGTGGTTTATACCTCAGGCCAGCCTTGGGAAAAACCACCCTCACGAACCCGTGGTCTAAAGGCTCAGAATGGCTCACAGCGTTGATGTTAGGTCTTTGTGTAGGCGGCATAGGGACTCGCGGTGTCTGCCTTCATTCTCCAAAAATGTGAGGGTGTGGGTTTTATTGGACAAAAAATATAAAATAATGAAATACTGGTGAGCATTGAATAGGTGAAACGTAACAAATAGATGAAATACAGCTCAAAATGTGTTGTCAACAAGGTGTTATTTTCACCATGATGAATGAATGGATGGAAAAAATATATATATATTTTAGGGAGAAATTATACAAAAAAGTAATTTTGGGACTTATTTTTCAACGCTTTTGTGGATAATATACTGGTAAGGGTCTATGGGTAAATATGTTTAATTTTAAGTATAACAAATCTATAAAGTCATTACATAAAGGCCATACAACACGATACAGGATGAGCTACTGACATGTTCAGTTACCACATACTATCTTTAGAGAAATATGTATCAATACACATTATGAAATTTCTTATACATTTACCTTGTAACAACTAACCATGCACCTCTCTATAATAATACTTGAACTATACCAACCTAAATCATGTGTCACACAAAGGTGTCTACAGTACACCAAAAAGCAGGTAAGTATCTATGCAGATCAACACTTGGGATTTATCTCAATTTCTATGTAAATCAGTACTTCAAAACTGTCTTATTGGTGAGGTTGAGGTGAGCGAGACAGTGAGTGGGTCTCTAGTGGTGTAGCCCGTCTCTAGTGTAGCAGCTCTGGGTACAACATCTAATTTCAAAATATCAAAGTACCATCATTCTAAGTTTTGCAAAATGGCAAAACAATAAGTATAATTGATTTGAAAGCCATTGGTATATAATATATATATGTGTGTGTATGGACATTATCAAAAATACTTTGGTCTTCAATTTCTTCAAATATGTTTTGAAACTGCTTTGCACTGTATTTGAATCACTCGTGAAGTAAAAAGCGTAAGTATTTATATTCTTCTGCGAACTCTCCACTTCTCTTTGACAAAAATATCTACTTAGTGCTTCATGTCACTTCCCAAATACTGACAGTGTCACTCAAGAACTTTTTAATAATAAAGTTATAATTCTTCACACGTCGTATGGGGAAAAAATATTATGTCATCTATGGATTTCGTCTAAAAACTTGAAATTATTTGTCACTGACAAAAATATTTCCCGAATTTTACTTCTTCACTTTCCTGTGTAGGATACAAGCGGCGGGTGTCATGTAATCTACAGAGTTAATCGGGTTGACTAGCTTTTTTATTCGAAGTCTCATATGAGTTATCCGAAGCCTCACGTAAGAGTGAGTTAGCGGGGTGAAGCCTAGCCCCTGTCTTACTCCCGACCAACCTTCGCCTAACGCTAAGTTGACGAAGTTCTAAAGCTCTGTAAAGCTCTTAAGCTCCGTGGAAAACCTCTGAGACTCTTTAAAAGCTCTAAGCTCTAAAGCTCTTGAATCAATGATCTGAACAACAGCTGGGGACTCGCAGTATCGAAAACTCTCACAGGGACGGACAGGCTCTCTTCATCTGTGGTAACACTTTCCAAGACTTGATAACAAAACCCGAGTTACAACTTGTTCATTCATCTTCTTGCTCTGAGATTAACTCGTTCTTCCTTTTAGCCGACAGTAAGTATAAAAATCTTTGATCAAACGCAGTACAAGCGATCAAAAAAGAAAGGCATAGAGGGTTCGTCTTCGATATACCATAATACTTGTTTGTTTTTATCCTGAAAGAAAAAAATGGAGGTACCAGAAAACAACGATACCGTCTGGCAAAAGTTACTGAATGTCTTATATTGAAGGGATGAAAAAATTAGGAAGACTTTAAATAAAACAACAATTCAAGATGACTAAGTTTGCCCCTACCTTGATGTGGTAAGAGTTGATTTTGTGTCGTGGCAACGCGTTGAAACTGCTGAAGTCGGGCCGCCGCGCGAACAACCCTCCCCCCGAACCATGTCTGTGAAGGAGAAAGAAGAGAAACATGTTAGATAATTCTCTTACTATTACCAAGCGTGTACGTATATAATTATCATACACATTAACACATAAGGATCAAACGTTATATCAGCAACAGCTTGAAGAAAGAAAAAGGTTAAGGAAACGCAAACTTATCCTGAAACTCTAGTAAAAGATCATTAGCAAATAAAGGTGTGACATTGTTAATTACGAAACATAACAGTTCCATCTTATTGTAACACGTATACAAAAAATACAATATGACCCCAGTGACCCCAAGACCAAGAACTACCAAATACCTAACAGTCGGTCAAAAACACATTAGTAGTCTTAGGAGGGGGGAGGTGGTAAGAAGGGAGGGGGGGGGATGTGCCCGTTTCCATGACAACGAGGAGGTGGTCGATGGTAGAAGTGGCACTCTCGGAGGACTGAGGCACTTGAAGACAAAACCTCAACAAATTTTATATAACTTAATCCAGAGGTGAGGTGAAAAACTCCCAATATTGTGAGAGCCACTTGTAGGGAGATAACTACCAGGCCCACAACCTACTTACACTCAGGGTACACACTTGTATATGAATAAATATTAGTTATGCCACATACACTTACACTTGACCGACAGATGGAAATACTGTACTTACATTAAAGACACACACACACACACACACACACACACTTGACCTCATTATACACTCATATACAGCTGACAGAATTATGATACAACTCAAAAGTTCACAGTAAATTCGACTACACGATGATTTTTTTTTACACCTGTCCATCAAGGTGAAGAACAGTCAGTTAGGAGTAAACCATCAAATACCTTATACTCCGCCATAAACTGAAAGCAGGAATGTGTGAGATTTTCATTTTCCACAAATTAATGACTGAGAAGAAGATCAGATTTCCCTGTTTTGAATACAGAAGAAGAGTAATGCTGTTATCTGCCGAGGTAGGAAAGATTACGATATGGGCAAAGAAGATTGGAACCAGGACAGTAGAAATTGGATTTGCGATTATCCGGATTATATCAGCGGTAGACAGGATTGGATCTCAGGTGGATACGACTGGATATAATAGGATCAACGGTAGAAAGGATTAGACCCCAAGATAGAAAGAGTTAAGGTCTAGGGTATATACGGCATATATATATATATATATATATATATATATAAATCCAACAGTGTGAGCTGCAGATGACCCCCAACCCCCCCTCGAACAAATTAAGGGACCCCGTAGCTATAACGAGCAAGAAGCAATCAAGAATCTATAAGACGCTTCCTCAGACTATCAAGCGGTTGACTAAGTTAACAGACAGACATTTAGAGGAGGTAAAGACAATATCCCTCTGGTAATATCATGGGGTAAAAAAGAAAAGAAAAGGGATCTGGATTACTGTTTTAGAAAGTTTTGGAATAAGTGACATAGGATCAGAACCTTTATTAAGAGCGTAATACTGGATCCATAAAAGACCGAATTAAGACATACAAGATTAGAAACTTTATTAAGAACTCGTACTTATTACCTTAATCTGTGTTGGAAATGTATACCGACATAGTATTGACAAAAACACTTCAGTATGTATAAGTCTATAATATACATATATTGGTCACGTTTGAACTAAGTACCCATTTCCGTTCGCGAGATTATATAATACACGGTAAATTGCCGCCCATATAGTGAAGATAAGATTTGACGGCGTTAACCATTTACCTCACGCAACCACGACGGCTTATGTATTACAGAACGTCCGTCTCTCTCTCTCTCTCTCTCTCTCTCTCTCTCTCTCTCTCGTGTGTGTGTGTCAAATATTCCACATACCTTCTCCTTGCCTGCCTGTGCGTCTAAGACAACTCTGAGACAAATTTCACCTTTATTAACCGTCTCACTAGAGGCTAAATTACTCCCCCAAGTACCTGCGACGAATGATATGGTCCCAGCCGCCACGTCACGTCTGGTTCATACAGGTGTTTCCTGCCAGGCCACACGTGCTGCCTCACCAACACCTGTACGCTTATAAATAGTGAATATCCTTTGACTCATGTGAGTTTTATTTATAGCAAGAGAGATAAATTAGTATATATGTAATACTTTTAATATTACAAAATTAAATATAATTATTGTGAATTAATTGCTAATCACCAGAAGATTAGCCCCTTAGCGCATATGACTTAATATTAACTACCTTAATGAAATCCTACCCCCCCCCACCCCCAGGTAGCGATAAGGTGTTTAATCATTAGGTGAAATAAACTGGGGATCTAATCTTCAGGTGATTCTTATTTTCCACATTGAATCGTAAACATGTAAAAAAAACTCGTTCCACATGACGGGAAAATTAACATTAAGTTGGTCACGTGTCATAGGTGCAATTCGTGAAGACTGAGTTATGTTCGTCCTGGCCTCATTAATTAGTACAGGTGTGATGCTTTAGGCTGAAACAGATACATACATACATACATACATACATACATACATAAATACATAGACATCAAAAGCAGTCGTGTATTGCAGAATCAGGAAAGCCTATAACAATTATTGCACATATTGCTTTCAATTCTCTTCTAATCATTACACAATACTGCTGTATAATCTATCTAACAAGCCACAAGCATTGCACATACTGCCTGTAATCCTATCTAAATGCTTTGCCTTTCTGGGTTACTGCCTGCGTTCGTGACTGCAGGCACTGGAAGGCGTGGGGAGGGGGGGGGGGCAGGTGACCTCGTCTGGCGCGTGTCTGGGCCAAAGAAAATCGGTGGTTTTAGGGTGTTTCCCCCATCTGCCTGCACACATGTTCTTTACCGGCTGATCGTTTCTGCCATGTACGATAGCTTGGTTTACTCTTTTTCTTCTTCTTTCTCCTCCTCTTCTTGCTACTTCCTCTTCCCCCTTCTTCATACTCTTAATTTCTACTTCCTCCCTCTCTCTTGCCTTATCCATGTCTCATTCCCTCCTCCCACCTTCCATCCGCTCTCTTCACCTTTATATCAACAAGTCAAGAAATCAGCTTGAAATTTCACAGAAAAAAGTGAAGGAAGATGAGCGAAAAGGGTGAAGGAGGGTGAAAAAGGGTGAAGGAGGGTGAAAAAGGGTGGAGGTGGGTGAGAAGAGTAGAGGAGGGTGAGAAGAGTGGGGGGTGAAAAGGGGTGAAGGAGGGTGAAAGGGGTGGAGGAGTGAAAACTGAAAAGGATGAACGAGGGTGAAAAGGGTGTAGAAGGGTGAAAAACGAAGGTGGAGGAGGGAGTATCAGAATAAAGTGGGAGTAGAGAGTATGGAAGAAGTGTAAATATATATAAGAGCAAGAGGAGAAGTAAAGAGGAGAAATAAGAAAAGGATGAATAGTGAATGTCGTATACAGAGAGAGAGAGAGAGAGAGAGAGAGAGAGAGAGCAATCCTCATTCTCTTCCATTAACCGTTCGACCCTTTACCAATCAACATACAAAATGCGGACAAAGCACTTCCCTTCTTTCCCTCCCATCCTTCCCCCTCACCCTTTTCTTCACCTTCCCCCATCATTGTTCCTCCTTCCCCTTCCATCAATCCATCTCTCCTTCCTTTCCTCTTACCCTTTCCTTCCCCGTCAGTCTTCCTCCTCCCCCGTCCACCCCCACCCCTCAATGCAACTATGTATACAGATCCACAGGTTGCAAGAGTGACCCCACAGGTTGCAATATCACTGAGGCGTCCTACTTGTGGAGATAACTGCTACCTCTTGCAAAATAACATTACCTAACTCCTTGAAGAATAAAGTTTACAATATTTTCTGTAATTTATATGACAGAGGTTGCGGAGCTTGATGGCGTTTCAAAATGTGTGTGTGTGTGTGTGTGTGTGTGTGTGTGTGTGTGTGTGTGTGTTAAACTATATCCTGTCACTACGAAAATTATAGATCATACCAATTTCTTAAAGGTGCGAATTAATCCTTTTATTGCCAGGGAATTATCGCCTTGTTATATGGTTATCTTCTTAATAAGCTTCCTCGAGTTCCAAGAAAAGGCGATAATGTGTTGCCTTAAACATGAAGTCTCCAATATACTAAAATCTTTATCGTCAGTAGTTGGGAGTCAGAGAGTTAAAGTGGTCAGTCGTCCTGCTGTCAGTCTTGTCCATAAAAAATCTAATAAAGTACGTCGTCTAAGTCATGTAAACAAACAAACAAACAAACAAAAAACACACACACTAGAATATTAAACATGGGGGGAGAGAAGGTGTAATATTATCGTCACGCACTAACTGGTCAATACTTCAATATTACCTGAACACCACCCATAGGAAAAACAAATAGAGAGACATTTACCACCGTCACACAGTAAGTTATTCAGTGTCTCAATATTCTATCATCAAAACCCAACGACAATAATGAGAAAAATTAGAGGGGCTGTCACCTTCGTCATGCAGTAAGTTGCTCAATGCTGTAATTCGCAATGATTATACCCCACATAAAACTCTTTCATAAATAACAAGTGTGAAACAAGAAGCCCCATCACCAAGAGCTTTTGCATGGTGAAGTGAACCTTATGTACCGCCTCTTCCTCACTAACTCACCCGGGGCAACACAAGGCTACCCTCGTGATGTTAAACCCCCACCCTCTGAAATGACCTCAATTTGCTCTTGAGGTTGTTGACCCTGGTAGACCCCACGAGTGTCCTGAATTCGCCCACGAGTTCCACCCGCCACCGTCTGACACACACACACACACACACACTGAGTTACTTCCTTCATTCACGACAACCAATACTATACCGATAATCTAAAACCATTTTGGTCTTTTATTTTTTTCATAACATATATTTTATTTTTTCTTCTAAGACGTTCCAGGGATCTTTTGTTACATGCGTCAGTACTCAATGGTTGTAGCTCGCGTTTAGCAAATATATGTCAGTTGATAAAGGTGTCACATTACGTTTAGGAAGTAAATATTTCAGCTAAGTTTTGCTTCTAGCTTGAGGGAGAGAATGTGAGGAACTAAGGGATGACTACAGCTGACGCCACTATATAT